TGTCCAAGACTCACTGCCATAAAGGAGAGTGCTCAGGACACAGGATCTGTAAACCTGAATCTTAGTATACTCAGTCATATATATATATATATATATATATATATATATATATATATATATATATATATATATATATATATATATATATATATATATATATATATATATATTACTAACGGGTTATATATATACGGGTTATACGGGTTATATATATATATATATATATATATATATATATATATATATATATATATATATATATATATATATATATATATATATATATATATATATGTACATGTATGTACATGTATGTATGAGTGTGTGTACATGTGTATACAACATTAATAATTTTGTAACTAGCGTCAAACATTGTTATTTGATTAGCTAAACGAACTAGAGGGTTCAGTTCCTGAACCGATTATGTGCCTCTGTAATCCTTTACACCACCGCCCACGGGATGGGTATGGGGTGCATAATAAATTGAAATTGAAGAAATTGAAATTGCATAATACGGTTATTGACATTCAATAATAGTAAGATAAAGCAATGAGGACCAAATGGGAGACCAGTGATCAGATGAATATTACAGACTCCAGGGAAGCCTTCTCAAGTTCAAGTTCAAGTTCAAGTATGTTTATTGAGATAAGCAATAAATACATCTCAAAGGGATAGAGTAGCTTAGGCTATTTCTACCCCCCTCTACTTCAAGTCCCTCAAGGGGCGCACAAATTCAGTGAGTACAAATAGACATATAACAGTACAAGAATCCCATTTAACATTGCATACAGCAAGTACAGCATATAATTGTTACATTCTTGGGGCAAAATTCTTGTAGCTCCTAAGTATACTGTCTATTATACCATTATCACACATCCAAACAATTTGATGTGGTACACTATTTATTTCCTTATTTCTATATTTTTCAATAAGGTGACACTCTAATACATAATGTTCTAAGGTGTGGGCGTACGGCATACTACATAATTTACACTCCTTATCTTTTTCACTGACATCAACACCGTATTGCCAGATATATTTATATCCTAATCGTAATCTCATGTAAATTGAATCCTTCCAAGTAGACTTTCCTTTACCATAAGTGAAGGACGAATTTGTATTTATTATTGAATAATTCTTAAGTGTGTTACTACTGTCCACCATTGCCATTCTCTTTATCATTTCTTCACCCTCCTGAATCACCTTGAGTCTAGTTTTTATTTGTTTCAAGGTTAACTGACATACAACATCAACAAGAGTTTTTTCAGTGGCTCTCTTCGCTATGTCATCAACTACCTCATTCAACAGTATTCCCACATGTGAAGGGATCCACATGAATCTTACTTTATACCCAGTTTTTTCAAGTCTCTTAACATTCTCTCTACACTCTATCACAATATTCTGGTATACTGGGCGTCTGCTATTTAAAGACTCTAACGCTCCTCTGCTGTCAATAAAGAAGCAAGCATTTTTACCACATTTGACTACTTCCTGTAATCCTGCTAATACTCCTTGGAGTTCAGCCTGCGTTGAAGAGACATTGTCAGTTAAGCGGCGTCCAATAACAGTATCTACAGTGCCGATGTCAGTGTACTCCCTGATCAAGACTCCACATCCTGCCTTCCCATCCCTAGCTACTGACCCATCACAATATACATGTAGAGTGTTTTCCGTAGGCAGTTTTCTAATTATACAATCATATGTTGCCCTCAGCTCTCCTATTTCATACATACTTTAATTTTTTCTTATGCAAGGGAGTAATTACTACATCTACATTACAATCCTCCCATGGTGGTGTAAATTTTCTCTTGGGCACAGCAACACACTCTCTTCCTTCTCTTCTTGTATATAAATGAAAAAACAAATTCGTTTGTTTAATTATAATGCTTGTAGGCGAGAACAGTTGTGAACGCCAGCTAGCGCACAAGTACATGAGCGCCCAAAATACTTTTACACAAAAGACATGTACAGACAGGCGTGTGGCTTCTGACTTCTTTTTTATTGATTAATATTAAATATTAGGCGCTTACCTATAATAGTTATCATTTTATACATGTATAACTCTCACATAATAAATATAAAAGGAGTTTATCCAAAAACTGACAGAAGTGTTGTGTTTTGTGCGTTGTATCGTGTTTGTGGGCATTCGGGTGTGTTGTGTTTACGCTGGCGGGCGGCGTCCTTACCAACTCCGGATTATGTCTATTACATCACTAAACTTCCTTTAATAACTATATGCCTGTTAAATAGAAGATTTTAATTGTTAATAGCATTATATTGTCGTTTTAATATGGAACACGTACACATATGCGAAATGTCGAAAGCTGGTGTCCGAAGTGGTAAAAATATTAGTGTGCGATGTTGTCAATGTACGGAGTGTCTTGTATCCCGCGTTATTCCTGTTGCTAGCTTGGCTGGTTGGGTTCATCCTGATAGGTGTGCTATCTTTCTTTGCGGCCTTACCGAGCTTAGAATTGTTTTGCTCGTTATATGCAGACTCGTTATATGCAGCAGCAAACGTCAGGTTCAGCTTCCTTCAGGGAGCAACACTAATGAGGTCGAGATGAGCTTGTAGGTTAGGTTTTGTCGAATATTTCGGTCACATTTAGGTCACTGGGTACTTAGCTGCCTTCTGGGGTTGTTACATCATGTTTGGGATGTTGTGGGCTCAAGGAGCAGCTGATAAAGTTGGAGGGGCAGCAGGGTCGTCAGGAGCGGATGAGCGTTCGAGAATGAGTTCGAGAATAATGTTTACATTGTCTATCTGAAGCTGAATTGCATTTGTAGATTTGCTTCCAAATAAGATGTAGTAGGTCTTTTCTATGTTAAGTGTTAGTTTGTTGGTTGACATCCATAAGTGGACTTTTTTTAGTTCATTATTAACAACATTATTTAGTGTATGTGGGTTGGGGTTAGAGTAGATGAAATTGAAATTGAAATTGAAATAAGTTTATTGAGGTAAAATACACACAAAGGGATGAGGTAGCTCAAGCTATTCTCACCCCATTCAGTACAACGTGTTAATATATACATAGACACACATCACAAATAAACACATTACCAAACATTCTGAGAGGTAAAAATATACATTTCCTCCCTCACAAGTAGTATGTTATCAGACGTACACACAAATACTTTTATGACCTAGGTATACTGTATAGACATAAAGAGTAGATGAGGGTAGTATCATCAGCAAACAAAATAGGTTTCAGAATGTTAGAGACATTAGGCAGATCATTGATGTATACAAGAAATAGAAGAGGTCCCAAGATGCTGCCCTGTGGCACTCCAACGGTTATTGGTAGAGAGGGAGAGGTTATATTATTGATGGCTACACATTGGTGTCTATTACTAAGATAGGATTGGATATAGTCCAGTGCATGGCCTCGGATTCCATAATTATGGAGTTTACATAAGAGGTAATCGTGATTAACAGTATCACAGGCCTTTCTCAGGTCAATGAAGAGTCCAATCGGAAACTCATTTTTGTCAAGGGCTGAGTAAATTATATCAAGGAGACTAATAATTGCATCGTTGGTACTCTTTGGGAGTGGAAGCCAAACTGACAGGGGCTAAGAATGTCGAATTTTACGAGATAGGAGTAGAGCTGTTTGTAGATAATTTTTTCAAATATTTTTGATAGTATGGGTAGGTTCGATATATTGGTCTATAGTTGTTTATGTCTGACGGATTACCTCCTTTATGAACTGGCGTTACTCTTGCTTTTTTAAGGATATCAGGGAAGGTATGACACTCAAGGGATTTGTTGAACAGCAGAACTATAGGTGGCGCAAGGGCATGGGAGGCGCTCTTGTATACAATGGATGGGATTTCACTGATGTTCCCAGCTTTGGTTTTTAGTGAGTGTATGATGGACACAACATCTGACGGGCTGACTGGTGAAAGGAGAAGAGAGTTTGGATAGCTGCCTGAGAGATATGTGTTGATATGTGTCTGAGTCTGTGGGATTTTACTTGCAAGGTTAGCACCAATCGATGAAAAGAAGCTATTAAATTCATTCGCCATTTCTAGGTCAGATGTTGGTGTAAGGCCATCCTTAGAGAGTGTTATCTGGTTGTGGGAGTGTTGTTTAGTTCCTAGGATATTAGAGATGGTATTCCATGTGCTTTTCATGTTGCACTATGTGGTATGTTAAGGTCTCACACCCTTGCCCATTATGTTCTTGATTGTCCGTTGATTAATGTATATAGAAACACTGAGATAAGGACTGTTCCTGAACAAATAGCATGGATGTGTCACAACGGAAAGGTTGATGATATTCTTGAGAGATATAAGAATTTTGCACCAAGATTGTAATATTTTGTTGAATTATCTGCATGTCTCTTGCAAATTGTCTATACAGTATACCTAGGTCATAAAAGTATTTGTGTGTACGTCTGATAACATACTACTTGTGAAGGAGGAACTTTATATGTGTTTATCTCTCAGAATGTTTGGTAATATGTTTATTTGTGATGTGCGTTTATGTATGTATTAACACGTTGTGCTGAATGGGGTGAGAATAGCTTGAGCTACCTCATCCCTTTGTGTGTATTTTACCTCAATAAACTTATTTCAATTTCAATTTCAATTACCTTACCCCTATATTGTCAACCCATGTCTGTTTTTTTTTAAACAACGCTGTTTGTCGACCTAATTGTATTTGTGCTGCTTTTTCTGCCATGTTCCCTCTTTTTTTTATTTTTATTTGTTCTCAACACATTTTATACTTTAATCTCAATTAGTATTAAGTTTTAGTCTTTAATGTTTTTCCTGCCCGAAACGCTCCGCGTAATAGTGGCTTTAGGCATTGTATGTACTAGCTCTATCTATAAATCTATGAATTTTTGTAAAACCTCTTGTATGCATGTACTTTACCTGAATAAATATTTATTTATTTATTTATTTTAATTTTATATTTATTATTTATTATTATATAGTTTACCCTGACATACTATAAAAGAAAACGTAAGAATTTATAGAAAAACAAGCAACCGATCCTTCCGCAACAACAATCACCGTTCCATCACGCACACCAGGCAACGCCAACGGTCGTCGATGCCCCTAAATCAACCACAACAGGCAACACCAAGACTGATACGTTGGAACACCTTCTTCTCCACTGCCCACGATTTCATAGCGCTCCCGTCAAACTAGAGAGTGCTGTTCGTAGGCTGAATATTTCCGCCACACGATTCCTTTTCTCCTTGACTGGGCAGGTGCGAGAGACAAAGTCGTTCGTTTTGACATCCTTCGCCATACCTTCCGGTTCATTCAGTGTGTCCGTGGCTCGAAGAGACAGTAGGGTGTGTGGTCTGAAGAGACTGTAGGGTCTGGGGGGCCTGAAGAGACTATAGGGATCCTATTCCTTGCTATTTTCCGGTATCGGGCAGCCGGGGCGTATCTGATCTCTCGATCGGCGTCGCCCCTCAAATCAACAACAAGAAAAGTTAATTACCCAACGCAGTAGGAGTGTTGTGCTTTCAGGAGACGCCCCCATGTCAGAAGAAGACGCCGGTCATCAGGAGGAGGTGGTGGTGGTACCAGTTTCAGAAAATGTACAAACCATAAAGAAGGTAAAACCTCAACAGTGTCCAGAGTGTGGCAAAATATTGAGTCATCAAGGGAGTTTGAAGACTCATATGACGGTGCATACAGGTGAAAAGTCTCACAAGTGTGTAGTGTGTGGGAAAAAATTCAGTCAATTTGGAAATATGAAGAGGCATATGACGGTTCATACAGGTGATAAATTGTATGAGTGTCCAGAGTGTGGCAAAAAATTCGGTCATCATGGAAGTATGAAGACGCATATGACAGTGCATACAGGTGATAAGGCGCACAAGTGTCCAGAGTGTGGGAAAAACTTCAGTCGTCTTGATAATATGAAGGCTCACATGTTAGTGCATACGGGTGATAAACCTCAAGAGTGTCCAGAATGTGGTAAAAGATTCAGTCATCTGGGAAATATGAAGACTCACATGCTGGTGCATACTGGTGATAAAACTCACATTTGTCCAGAGTGTGGGAAAAGCTTTGGCCGTCTTGGAACCATGAAGGCTCACATGTTGGTGCATAAAGGTGATAAACCACATAAATGTTCAGAGTGTGGAAAAAGCTTCAGTCGTCTTGATAATATGAAGACTCACATGCTAGTGCATTCAGGTGATAAACTGCATGAATGTCCAGAATGTGGGAAAAAATTCAGTCAACTTCAACATATAAAGAGGCATATGTTGGTTCATACTGGTCAAAGATTGCACGAGTGTGCCGTGTGTGGGAAACAATTTAAGCACCGTAAAAATATAATACGTCATATATTAGTGCACCCCGGGGACGAACCTCAAAAGGCACCAGATGATGTGGATGTTGAATAAATCTTGAGTACCATAAGCTGTACAGTATTATCTCCATACATAACTTCTCACTAATCCCATATTCCATATGGAAACTCGGCTTCACATTTAAAGTACATTGCTATTACTGTGTTAGATGCCCCTACAAAGAGATATGGAAATTTTGTGGTTCATTTAAAAAATACTGTAATAACACCATGTTATTTGGAAGTTGCACAAAATTATTTTTGTTTGTATATTGTTGTGTGAAAAAAATGCTTGGCTGTGGAAGGCAAAGCTCTGCAGGATTAGTATTTAAGTTGCTTTTTATCTTTTGCTCTTTAGTCAAATTTAGATTTACCTCATCAACTAAGCAAGATAAAACAATGGAAAAAATGATGGTCTTTTCATATTTTGTTTCAATTAAACTTTTAATTTAAATTGTTTTAAGAAATAGATTTAAAATATTATAGTCCAGTGGTTTCCAACCTGTTCTTGGCAGACTCCCAGGGGTTTGCAAAAGTCGTACAGTATTAGAGTAGTTTTGCTACTAATAATGTAGTTTTGCAAAAGTAGTAAACCCAAGCTAATTTAAAAATGTCATCCTCCCGATACCAATAACAAATGGAATAGGGATCAGATTTATGTAGATATGCAAAATGTAAAAAAAATTAACTGCATATGAAGAAAACAGTCTTGTTGAACTTTGATGTGATAACTCACTGAAGTTACATTTCATTCAGTACAACTTATCAAACTTTTGGTTGCATGTGATAATGAGTATTGTACCTAGAACTGGCATCCAAAGCACTGAGATATTTAATGCTATTCCTCACTGCATACTTATGTGAACAGGCTTTCTCCCAGCTGTTTTATATTAAAAAAAATTCAGAAACAGGATGAATGTGGACCTTTATCTATGCCTAAAACTGTCTGGCATTGAATCTCAAATTTGGAACATAGTGTCAACACAGCAGCATCAACCATCTCATTCATCAAGTAAGTTTTTTTTAACACTACCATATATTTAATTGCATACTCGGTTACATAGGCCTTTCAATTGAAAACGTGTTTGTTGTTAGTGAAATTGGTTTGTTGAGTAGACAGGACTTTAAAGAACCAGGGGTCTGTAGAAAATATTAACATAAATACAAGTGGTCTTTGGGGGTGAAAGAGTTGGGAACCTCTGTTATGGCCGTTTGTGGGAATTTACTTGTGGGAAAGATTTATTAATTGTATTTATTTAAATTAATTCAAGATGCTGGTTAACTAAAGTTCAATTATTTTATTATTTTATTAAAGCATTGTGGACTGTATTTTCAAATTCCACAAAAATAAATTCTCTCACACATTTGAGGGGTTTTATATTTAAATTCAACTAAACTAAAATAAATGAGATAGTCAAACTGAGAAATAGTTCAGGTTATTAGTAATATTTTATAGAAGAATTGATTTAGTAACTATATGGAGCAACAGCTTAATGAGTCAGAAGCTGAAGTTCCTGTCTGAACATGTATGATTTATGTGGGCCCGGTTTCTTCCCTCGTTGACAATATGGGTTCTGGCGTCGCTTGCATGATGTAGTGTCTTAAGTTGTAGGACCCTTAACTCATGGTTTTGCATAGTCCACACCTCAGCCTGCCAAAATTTCACATTATAGCGCTTCACAGAAAAATTTATATTAACACTTTCGCGCTCTCCGCAAAGGTCACTCAGCCAACCGAATGTGCGCGCTGCGTTTTTATCGCTTAAGCGTAAAAACAAAAATGTGTATACTCTTTTTACTCTTCTGACCTTAGTTCTCATGCTACGTATTTCATTTTGGTACCAACGTGTTCGCAATAAAATTCTCTAGAAGAACATCAGTAAAAAAAGTCACGAAACGTATAGGGATACCAGCACCAAATAAATAACTACGAAGATGACTCGCCGTGAGCGCCCATCAGCAACAAAATGTTTTTACTCTTGGGATTGTAATCACCTCCACACTTGTTCTACAGCGTTAATTTTGGTATCAATGGATTCGCAATGAAATTCCCAATACGGTGATATGAATATAAGCGTAGAATAATGATTGCGGCCCGCCCGCAAGAGTGTGGGAACTGGTGAAATTGTTACCCGGTATCGGTGACGGGACGACGCACGGCGCTTTGAAAGTTTATACTTATTTCACTCTCATGACATTAATTTTCTATGTACGTCATTCATTTTTGCGTCAATGTGTTCGCAATAGAATGTTCTATGTGCCCATAGGTAAAAAATATCAACAAAGCGTAAGTTAGAATAGCGCCAAATATAAAACAACGCTGGAACATATCAGTGAGCGTCAAACACACACGAAATGTTTTTACTTTTGTTATGTTTGTCAAGTTTATACTTGATGCACACAGTTATTTTTGGTTGTATATTAATCGGAATAAAATTCCCTAAACAGACATATGCATATAATACATGATATGGGGGAAGCATTACCAGTATAAACGGCTAAAGTCACCCACCTGCAACCCGTTTGGGACAAAATACCATTTGATCGAAGTTATCCACACCTTTCATGAACTTATTGTACCATGCAGCCTAGTGGTGAGAAAGAGAGCCTCATAGCGCGCAGTTTAAAACAAACCCAAAGTAAATCGGATAAAAATTGAATTTTATACAAATATTTTAAAAGTTGACATAACTTTATGTCCACTATGCGTTTACGTTAGACGAAACCGGACGCGCCGGCGCGTTCAGATAGCGCGAAAGTGTTAATATTTAATTACTGTACTATTTAAGGTGATTGAATTTTGGGAAAACTCACCTCTCAGGGCTGGTTGTTCCTTCTATGTAACCACCTCTGACTAATTATTAAGAATAGCCATTCACTATTGCTATGTCAAAGATGGAACAATATACTTTCCTGATTGTAGCCCAGGTCATTCAGTGGTGATTCTATAGGAATCTTAATTTATAACGAGACCAACACAGCATCTCGTGTATCCTGACTGGCTGTGTACAATATGGCGAGTCTCCCTCCTTCTTGGGCAGGGAGCATTCATGCTCCATATAAATTTTTTCTATTCCTGAAAGGAGAGTTGTTTAAAGTTTTATTTCTTTGAAATTGATACTAATATATAGATTTAATATATAGGGAATTCAGCCTTCAGACTGGACTCGTTGAATTTTGAACATATGCAAATACTGTGTGATCTTTCATTTACAGAAAATTGTTGACATGGTGGTCACGTTTTCTTTATTACGTAGAAACTAAATCATAATTCTTCACATTGTAACTGCCATGTTTATTTCCTATTAGATATAATAATTATACACACTAACAGAAATATAATTCTAGGTGCATTATTATTTAAATAGGAATTGATTAAATTTAAATAGACTTAGGTGGGAAATTTCCCACATCTTTGTTAACTAGATTAAGAACATTTTCTGTGGGGAGCCCCGTTGGCTCCCTGAAGTTATCCAAACTGACATGTAAAATCTTAGTTTCGGGTCATCAGTCACAGGAGTTCTTTATGCCTACCGGAAGTCACAAGCCAGAACCTGGTCCACTCAGGGAGGTGCAGGGAGCAATGGCCTATGAGCAATCTACATTTAGAGTATGTCATACTTGCTATCAACCAGGGAGGCCAACCAGAAAGATAGGCAAAACAGTTCAAACCTCCAGCTGGTAAAAATTGCAACCTGTGTCCGAACAGAGCAAAATAACCCCCCCCAAACAGAAAATAAACAAGCAACACCTCATCCAACTATCGCATTCACTCATTAGTGCCCGGGGGCACTAATGAGTGAGTGAGCCGGGGTGGAGGGGAGAGGGGACCGACTCGAGCGAGCCAACAGCTCACCCCCATCAGTTCTTGACTGATGTGCCTGGTGGTCAGATGTCACCTTTAGCCTCTCTTTCCTGTTCTGGATTTTGCCCTGTGGGGTTGTACCAGCAGTGTGTGTGGTGTGGTGGCCAGGTGTTCTTGGTATGCAGGGCTGCATGTGCCTTGGGTAAACTTCCCTAGGTGCCCTGTAAGTACTACCCTTGCATTTTAGGGTTATCTTTCCTTGGGCGTTCGGGACTCACTCCCGTTGAGGTCTACATCGCTTGTCGTAGACTTCGCCCTTGGGGTATGTCGGGGGTTTTGGGCTTTTTGTCTTGCCCTGGGTAAGGAGTGATTTGTTGCTGGGTGGGGTGCACTGTGTCCAGCTTGCACATGCAGCAGCCAACGATTCTTTCTCGCTGCCAGTTTTTTTTTTTTTTTTTCTCATTTCGGCTGGCATTTTTCTTTTGTTTCTGGTGGAGATCTGTTTAGTTTCTCTAGTTTTATATGAAGATAGGGGTCAGGCAGCGGCTGCATTGCATGCTAGGTTTTCATTGTTGCAATGCGGCAGGTTGGTTGCCCGTTTGAAAGCCCCACTTGGGTTTTAGGGACCAAGATTTGGGGGTGTTTGTCGCTTCGACCTTCATTCTGTCCTCGCTGCCATTTCCTTCCCAGGTGGGCGTGGTTCGCCCCACTCTTTCCCCCGTGCTTCTGACTCCCAAACATCTGATGGTTTCGGAGTCGGGGCAGGATGAGGCTCGTGTGGTTTCGGGGATTGCCCCTTCCGAGTCAGGTGCGAAGGTGGTTGAGCCCGATTTTCCCGACCCAAGGCTTCTGGGTCAACTCAGCAAACTCCCTTCTCTAAAGTTTTTCCACTTGACTCCGCTTTTTATTTTTTCTTCAGGGGTGGTGGGTGCTGATGAGGGATCTGCCCTGGAGCCTGTGCCGGGGGTTACTGGAGCCTGTGTTGGGGGTGCCAGGGGCTCGGAGGGAGTCCGCATGGAGCGTTTGACCCTGCTTAGGCCCTTGTGCCTTTTGGGCACATCTAGTCAGAGTTCTTTCTGCAGGGGCAGGTGTTTTCATATTTGCCTTCCCTGTATGAATTTGAGTTGGGTGCGACTTCCCCTCGGGTTCATTTCAGCTGCCCGGTTGAACCTGTTTGTGCCGATCCTCCGGGAGGTGGTTTATATATTTGTCACTTCCCATCTCACGTGTCTGCAGGCCGTCTTTGCTCTCTCTTTAGATTTGGCCTGGGCCCTGGCTTTGCAGTCTTTGTCTCCGTTTTTGTCCTCTGTCATTTCCGGATAACTATGTTGTGCAGTTTTTGACGGTGGCTTCTACTAGTTGCCGCCCATTTCCGACTTGTTGGTGTTCGGGAGGGGTCATTCTAGGACTTCTTGGGGTGGTCGTGCCAGGGCTTGGGCTTCGTTAGGTCAAGGTGGGCCTTTAGTGCTTGTTTTGGAGCCGGTGTGTTCCCCAGGGACGTTTTCGTCTGGTCAGTGTGGTGGTAAAAATTGGCAGACAGGCTGTACAGAAGTCTGCTTCGGTGGTTGCATTGACCCTTTCACGGGTCGCCCCATTGACAGGGCGATGGGTGGGGAAGGCTGGCTTTATTTGCCCACACTTGGTCCCACGATACGTGGGTTTTTTCAGGTCATCTCCTCAGTCTTTGGTGACATTGGGCAGCTTTTCCTCCCATAGGGGGGCTAGGGTCTGGTGGGGCAGGCTTCTTCCCAGTCCCTCAGTCGGGTCATCTCGGAGTGGAATGGGTCGAAATGACTTCATCCCTGAAGTGGGTTTCCCGCTTGTTTCTGGTTCCGAAATGGGACTGTGCGTTTCTTCGGTTCATTCTGGACTTGTCCCATTAGAACTGTTTGATTCCTTGCCCCTCTTTTTGGAAGACCATGTTGTCCCAGGTCCGGCTTCTTCTCGAGCCAGGCGCTAAGATGATTTCTCTGAACCTGAGGGACACTTATTAGCACATTCCTTTTCATCCAGGGTTCAGAGATTGGTTGGGGTTCGTGGTGGGGTGACAGGCTTACCGCTTCTGTTGCCTTCCCTTCGGTTTGAATGTGGCTCCTCGCGTTTTCAAAAGATGTTATTACCATGTATCAACTCCAAACATGTACTCGTTAATATCATGAAACCAGTAACCACAGAGGCTTTCTCACCTCAACTCAAATCTCTAGGGAA